TAAGGGAGTGGGAGCCAGGCATATCAAGGCTGCTAGCTGGGGTACCGGGTCTCCACCAGGGCAGCAGGGAAGACAGGGTGGAGGCTCAACCAGGGACCTGCGCAAATCCTTGGTTGAATGTAGGCACAGACCCAAGGTCTCGTCCCACCTGACACCGCCCAGCATGGGCACCTGAAATGGGGGTGGGGGTGGGGTCAGGGTTGTCTGAAACCCTGGAAGCAGTGAGGATGCCACATGACAGTGACCACATGTGTAGGTCAATGGGGGACTCCTTCTGAGCACTCACAGGGCTTGGAGAGAGAGACTGGGCAAAGTCAGCTAAAACTGATTGTATACTCACAAGCACTGTCAGGCACTGTCCTAAAGGTTAGATGTGTATTAATTCATTTTTTATTATATAATTCAGCAATATGTACTGGTATTTAAGAAAGAGACATAGCAAAGGATGTAACAAAACATCACTAGTGGCCGGGCACAGTGGCTGATGCCTGTAATCCCAGCACTTTGGGAGGCCAAGGCAGGTGGATCACCTGAGTTCAGGAGTTTGAGACCAGTCTGGCCAACATGGCGAAACCTTGTCTCTATTAAAAATACAAAAATTAGCTGGGCGTGGTGGTGCGTGCCTAAAATCCCAGCTACTTGGGAGGCTGAGGCAGGAGAATCGCTTGAACCCAGGAGGTGAAGGTTGCAGTGAGCCGAGATCGCGCCACTGGACTCCAGCCTGGGCGACAGAAAAAGACTTCGTCTTTAAAAAAAAGAAAAAAAGAAAAAAAAAAGAAAAAAATCGCTAGTTTAGACTAACACAGAGGAAATATCAGACTAAATGGTACTTTCTTAAAATGAGCTGATAAGTAAAAGTTGTGTATGTTTATGGTGTATAAAAGGATGTCTTGTGATAAATATACATTGTGAAGTGGCTAAGTCAGGATATTTAACACGCGCCTTACCTCACACTTATCATTTGGTGACACATAGCTACCAAGTTACGAGAACACTTAAAATCTACTCTCAGCAAATTTCAAATATACAACACTGTTATCAACTGTAGGAAACATGATATACAATAGATCCCTTGATCTTACTCTTAACTGAAATGTTGTGATCTTTGACCAACATCTCCCCAATCTCACCCCATTCCACCCTAGCCTCTGGTAACCACCATTTTACTCTGAGTTGGATTTTTTAAGACTCCACATATGGGATCATGTGATATTTGTCTTTTTGTGCCTGGCTTATTTCACTTAGGGTAGTGTTCCCCAGGTTCACTCGTGTTGTCACAAATGACAGGATTTCTTTCTTTTTTTGAGACTGAGTTTTGCTCCATGGCCCAGGCTGGAGTGCA